CTATTAGTCCTTTTTGGGAGATATCCTCTCTTAGGTTACGTAACCCTTCGAAAAACTATTTCTCCTCCTTGTTTTAAAGTCCATAGAATGCCTCGGCCGAGGATATATATGTTGGCTGGAGATGTGCTTATAGTATCCACAGGTGGATGGGGAGCTGAATTTTTTTTTTCTTCTGAAGAGTGTTGTAGGTCTAGATTTATTAGAGCGGGGTATCTGACATTGTCTGGGTCATCCAAAGATTTCCATGTGCAGTGTCTACGCGTTTCACCCCTCCCCCAGGGGCTTCTACCACTTGTGCCCTGTTGTGATCATGGTTTGGTATTAGCAGTCAGGCAAAGCCTTGAGATGTTGGCAGGTAATCATTGTACATCACTTGTTAGCAGCTTAGATAAAAGGACAGATTATAGGTATACAATAATTGAGGGCTTGCGTCTGCTTTACTGTTATGGGTTTTCTACTATGTTATATTGAAAATATAAGTCGGAAATATTCTCAATATTAAGTTTCATAATGATTGAATTTTCTACTTTTGTTTTGCAAAAAAAAAAATAACACAGGGTTTAAACCCACCGTTACCAATGTTTGCAAAGGTTATGCAATAGTTAATCCCCTCATGAACAGTTCTTTGTGTTTGCACACACTTATTCCTGTGCTGTCCTGTGTTGTGCCTTCTGACCTATATTTTGTTACACTAGTCCCATTGCCTTACTGTAAGCTTTTGTTCAAGGTCAGGATCTGTAACCCTCTGGTATTGGGGCCCATTCACACCAATTGTTGTGCGTTCCAGAGCGGCAGGTGCTGGAACGCATAGCAATCACTCCCTAACTTCCCCCTTCGTTCTGGGGTGGGAGGGGGTGTGGCGGTGCATAGAAGTCACTGGCACCGCATCCACGACCCCGCCCACAGTGCGATCGGACCTGTGGCAAAACATTTGCGTTTGCAGTGTAACGGAACGCAGGCAATGTTTTGCCACGCGTCCGGTCTTTCAGGCCCCTAATGTCACCTAGGGACTTAAAGAAGCTGTTGAAGCAGATATCTGCTTCCCCAGCTTCTTCTCCTGGCTGTAAGAGCCGGAGAATGTGCACAGTGACACCGGAAGTGATGTAATACACATCACTTTTGGGTCCAGTGTTTAGAGGAGAGATCAGCAGCTAGAAGACTGTCAGTCACCGCTCCCCACAGGGATTCCTCCCCTCTTAGTTTCTCCAGTGCTGACTGGAGGAACGGATGGGGAGGGGGCAGGCACAGCTGGCTATGCCTCTCTAATCAGCAGGCAATAGCCTGCTATATACTAAGTTTTTGGTCACCAGGGGACATTAGTATATGTTCTCCTATGACTCAGACGAGAACTATGGCCATAGTTCTCCTTTAATGCTGCCTTGGCAAACATCCTAGTTCACGGAGTCCTTAACATTGTTCAGAAAGGTTTTTCAATAAACCTATTCACTGTTCCCATAGAAAAAGGTTTCTTAAAGTGACATTAAAGCCAAAACCCCACATGCTAGTATAAGGACTTACCTTAAATTATGCTTCTTGATCCGATCATCTTCTTTCCAGTAGGTTTCAGGAGTCCCTCCAGCACTGGTGCAGGTCTCTGATCCAGCGCTGTCTCCCATCCCTCGGAGTCTGTGCGGGTGCATGCTACGTGCATTAACTTATCCTGTGTCTCTCCTCTTCTCCCGGCCGACGATCTGTACTGCGCTTGCGGCCGCCCGAGAATCTTCAGATCTTCGGACGGGAGTGCGCGGCGGAGACACGGGTAAGTTTTAACATTTTTTTTTTTTGCATATATCTAATGATTGCCATCAGTAGATATATGCAAACACATATGAGGGTTTAATTATCCTTTAAGCCCCATTTTGTCTTCATTTGAGTGCAAACATTTTTGCAAGGAATCCAACAGGTCGTACCGGAGGACTATCTGGCCTCTCTGGACATTAAGAATATGTACTTGCATGTCCCCATCTTTCCAGCACAATGCTTCCTCTGTTTTATTGTGGGCACATTACTAGTTTGTTGCCTTTCCCTTTGATTTGTCTTCTGCACCATGAGTGTTCACCAAGTTCCTAGCTGCAGTGCTAACCTGGATATACCTACAGGGCATTCCAATAGTGGGATACCTAGACACGCTCCTACTGGGAAAATAGCACGCGCCTTGTCGGACAATGTCAGACACTACGTATGTTCAGTTGGATCCTGAAAATTTAGAAAACATTGCTGAAACAGATTCTTCGCTTGGAATACCTAGGTCTGATCCTGCTTACAGCTTAGTCCAGAATTTTCCTTCTACAAGAGAACCTCTTAATGCTTCACTACCATATTCAGACCCTAATGTCCAGGAGCTTTCTCTTTTTTGCGTAAGAGTTCGGTTCTGATGGCTGCCTCTTCCAAGGCAGCTCCATTTGCTCAGTTGAGCTCCAAACTGTTGCAGCTTAATATTTTGACTGTGGGAAAAGATGGTGCAGTCACTGACCTATCATAACACACAGGACCAGATTTTCTCTGGCCTGGTGGCTAATCAACCTGAAATTGGGAAAATCTTGTCTTCCACTATCCTCGAAGATCCTCATGAAAGATACTAGTGAGACAGGCTGGCAAGGTGACCTGGAAACCCCGATAGTGCAGGGAACTTTGTCGCCAACTGAAGCTTGTTTCGCTATTGACATACTGGATCTCCGTGTGTCTAGTCTATTCCTGTACACCTCGACTGTACTGTTATCCCATCTGTATTAGGTGACTGGCCTAATCCTGACAAGCTGTTTACTCCACCCAAGCATTTTGTTTAGTAATACTCCAGCATGGAGAAGTGCTTTAAGAAGTGGGCCGTTCCTATAATGGATCCAGACGTTTCTTCCCTTAAACCAGACACTGACTGTTTCTGTCAAGGGCATCCCAGTGTTTAAGGGCTCTGTGGACAAGAGAATGGAAACCCTTTTTTGAGGCCTTGATCTTCCTGGCAGGATCTGTCCTACAACCTGTTATTGCTGTCATGTCTTTCTTCAAGACCTTGTGGGTTTGCTTCAAGATCATGTGCAAAGACTTGGAGTCTATCCTATCTGATTATTTGCTTCTCCAACAATTGGAATTCATGCCTGTTGCTCTGCACTCCTATATTGATGGGCTTGTGTTTATTATATGTCTCCTATCCAGGATGGGCTTCTTGTCTGTGCATGTGCCGAGGACCCTTTCGGTGAAAAAGAAAAACTGGTAGGCAGAGCACCATTGTAAAAAGCTCCTGTTGCATATTCCCTTCAGTGGTGAGCTTCTCTTTAATGCTTTTTGCCACCTCCCTGGACAACTTTATCAAGGATGTCATGGGGCAAACATACTCTTTTGCCTAAACAAAAGAAAACTATGCCTCAAGTTGGTAAAGCCTCTGCCCTTGATGCTAAGAAGTGCTCCTTTCATTTCTCTTGGTCATCCAAGTCCAGAACCCAGTTCTCTTGCACCCAGATCCTCCAAGCCTGAAGGCAGGTCCTTGTCTGTTAGCGTTTGTGACGACTTGGACCAGAAGCAGCTCAGATGCATGGGTACCGAATGTGGTGCCTAGGAACTATTTTTGCCTCCGTCACGCGCCATGTTGTCAAACATGCAAAACAAACGACAAACGCACTCAACAATTTGTCACCAGTTATACAGTAAGGTGCACACGAAATGGGCTTTGAACAGTAAAACAGTAGAAAGGCATCATGGCACACTCACAAACCAGCATGTAAAACAACTTGTCTCGCCACTAAGGATAATAACAGAGGTTTGGATACACGTCTTCTGCAGAGGATGTGAAAGCTGCACTGCCGCGACAAGGCACCTCTTATAATGCGGTCCTAACTCTAAACTATGAGAGTCCCATCTTGGAGCACATGGGGGCAGAAGATTTCAAATTGGGTGCAGGTTTGTCAGGAGGAAGCCCAACCTCCTTAAAAGCACAAGTCTGTTAGCAATGGCTAACAGACTTGTACATTCTGGCTCAACTCCTTTTGCAGGGGTCATTGTTATAGTCCCAAAACAGGAAAAATATCAAGGTTTGCAGTTCACAGCAAGTGCAATGTGTCCCACTTTGTAGATAACAGCAGGTGTGGTGCTGCTCGGTTTTCAGATCACAGCAAGTGTGGCTGATCACAGCACACGCATCCTGGTTGGCAGATCACAGCAAGTGCCGCAGTGTTTCCAGTTTTGCTGATCACAGCCAGTGCCAGATTTTTCCATTTGTGCACATTTGTTCCTGCTGTGTTGCCACAGTGTCTAAAGAGGGGGGAAAAAAAAAAAAAAGTACAGTAGTGAGGAGGTGGGGAAAAAAAAAATCTTAGTATGACTGATGAAAACGGAGACCTCTGTCAGGTTTAAATCGAGAGTATAACCTTTAGAAAACAGCAGTATATTAATCTATTCTCTAATATTAATCAGTATATTCATTTAAATATATAGTCTCTGATTTAGTGGACAAAGAACCGTGCCTTTTAATAAATACCCAGAGGTGTCTGTTTCCAAAATGTGGTTATTCTGTAGGGTTATCCATTGTTCTGGCACTTCAGGGACTCTTATAATGTTATATGTATTTAGGAAATCAAATTGGTTATTTTTTCCGCTTAAAAACCTAAAGGGAACCTTGAGTTTTGGGCGCCTGTATGCAGTTAGGCAGCGAAATCCTCTCATGTGATGTTCCCGTATTCAGGAGTAGCAAAATCTGTTTTGGGATGTAATTCCAAGTATGTTCATACTGTGTTTGAGAAATTGTTATAATGACAAATTTGTGAAAAGAAAAATAATTTTATTTTTTCCCCAAAAAAAATTACATCTTCAAAATACTCACCGTGGCATATATTATATATGTATTTTTTTTTTTAAAACCAAAGGAATGTAGCAGAATACATTTTGGAACAATGCAATCTTTGAATAATCTAAGGGAATAATGGCTACAAATGGCCTAGCTTGCTGACATATTAACCATACTGGTAATAGAAAACATTTAATTAAACTAAACCTTTTTTATTTCTTTTTAGACACCCTCTGCTGTAAGTAAAGTAAAACAGCTTTTAGATGACAAACCAGACCATGTAAGTAAAAGCATAATACTGTGCCTTATTATTTATCGTTTTGATGCTCTACAGAAAATCAGGTTTAATTTTCAGGCACCTATGCTGAATATTACCAGTTTTAATGTTCTTTTGGGCCCCAAGGTGCACTTTAGATTTCTATACTGGAATCTTGTCTAACCCTGATATGTCCATAACACACTGTTTTCAGTCTGTTACGTCTAAATAAGCGGGTTATTTTCCATAATTTATTAGTGATAAGATATGGAAATTTAGCCCAGGGTGATTAAGTCTGGCCACAATATACTAGTGTGTGTATGTATGTATGTATGTATGTATGTGTGTGTGTGTGTGTATATATATATATATATATATATATATA